GTTATTTAGTTTTGTCTTATATTCAATACATTATCTCAAATATTAATCATACTGATGTCTTATGTAAGATGTTTGATTGTCTAATAAAATGGCTTCAGTTTGGTATACCCATATTAAAATTTGAAACTATGTTTGATTATTTATTTAATGCATTAAATAGTGTACAATTATTTGATAATGCTTGCGAATGTGTTATTGTTCTATTTAATTCACCAGATGCATTAAAGTAAATAAAAATTGTCTTCTTAGATATACTCTGAAAGATCATAATATTATTGTAGGTATCCGACTACATTTACTCATCTATTACCTTATGTTTTGAGTCTTGAAACGTTATTGGATCATGCTATAGCGTGTGGTGATAAAGTATGTACATCACTTTTATGCTGTTTCTATTAACTCTGTTATATATTTGATAGAAAGAAAAAATGTGAATCTTTAACAAAATTAATAGCAACATTTGGTGACAATCATGCTAAATTATTATTACAACTAGCATTAACAATGCATCCTCAATCTCAACAATTGTTAGATAATTTTTGTAAACTTGTTATGGTGTGTGTGTGTAGAATAAAGTTTTTTTTTGTTTTGTATTATTTACGTTTTTTCTGATCTTTTAGCGTTGCACTGAAATGAAAGGACAGTACCCGATTGAAGAAACATGTTCAGAACTCACATTTAGTTTTTGGTATGCATTACAGGTTCGTTAGTATTGTATTTGTTCTCTACAATATTTTTTAGACTTTTTCTAACAATATTTTCTTGTTTAGGAAGAAGTGACATCATCTAAAGATGATAAAACACAAACACTCTGTATGGAAATATGTCGTCCTTATTTTATACGTTTAATTGAAGTGCTTATTACAAAAGGACAAATGCCAGAAAATAATCAGGACTACACAAGCGAAGACAAAGAAACATTTCGAAATTATCGTGTTGATATTGGAGATACAATAGTATGAAAATGACGGTAATGAGATAGATGTAATTAATACCGCTTTTTCTATTTTTAGATGTGTATGCATAATGCGCTTGGTAACGGAGTCTTGGAAGTACTAGCTCAACATTTGGCTTTATCTATCGATCAAAATTCGTCATGGCAGGTTGTTTGTCTGTTCGATAGCAAAAAAATAATCATGTCTTAGAAATTGAAATGTTTTTTTAGCGACAAGAATCTATAATGCAATTAATCGGTGCTGGAAGTGAATATGTTTCATTAGATGAAAATATTTATTTACCAAAAATATTTTCACTTTTACCGAAAATAAACTTTTGTAATAGTTTAATTATAAATGCTACATTAACGGTTTTGGGTATGTAACAGTTATTAATTATCAGCTCAAACGAAGGAAAGACTTAGTAGAAACTTTTTTTATTTAAAAAACTTCTTCTTTTCATACTTCTTTATTTCCGTATTAAAGATTAGTCCAAGTTTTCAAGACTTGGACTTTTACGTAATTAAAAAAACGTTTCTGTAAAAGAAACTTATTAATCTCTCAATTTCTTACGTGACGCATCACTTTTAACCCGCTAAAAACGCGCATTAAAACATTCTATCGAGTCGAGGTAAATGTTAAGTCATCAGTGATGGTAAAACAAATTATTCCCAAATTTACATTTTGAAAATTGGTACTCTACTTGATGACATCAAAAACGAAATAAAAAAGAATGAAATATTTTCTCGTACGCTTAATTTACTGTTCTAAATTACAATCAAATATATGTAAAGAGGAAACGATACAAGAAAATGATGTGAGAATATTTTTAATGTATAAAGGATAACAAAATATATCGTTAGAATACTAAATAACATATTTGCTCTTAGGAGTATGAAATTATCGGTTTTTATCGCGATGGAAATTTGGGATTTTTTTACTTGTAGAATTTCAGATTGTTAACGAAAAGATCGATCACAGTGACGCATTTTTACCGTTAACCCTTGACGGCTGTTCACCCTAGATAGCTTTCTAGGGGTCTGGCTGGATCTGTTTGAGAAGCAGTGAATAAACCCCAAATTTTTGTTTTTTCTCCACTTACCATGCATGGATCGAAAGTCCTCCCCTTGCGCAAGAAAAGCAGACGTATGATTAGAAAAAATAATGTATCAGAAAAATGTATCTTTTGAGTAGTTGGAAAATTCCAGTCATTTGGTTCAGAAAAACCTCATACTTCAATTAAAACGTATTTGTTAGATCAAAAGATTTTTTTTCACCCATGGTTTATTGACTCTATTGATATTTAGGACAGTATAGCAGCTGGTTAGGACATCATCACGAAATGCTTCAAAATTGTGTTCATTTATATGTAAATGCGCTGTCAAATCCAGAGTTAATTCAATCAGCCTCAATTACCTTAAAAGAATTAACGATGGAAAATCGAAGACGTATGTCACAATACTTGAATGATGTGTTTCCGATAATCAAAGTAACAAAAAACAAAAAACAAAAAAAAAACGAATATCTTTCACGTATGCGTATTGTCCTTATGTTCAGACCGTTCTCGAAAATGGAAATTTAAATTCGAATGATCGCGTTCGTTGTGTGTCAATTATCGGTTATATGTTATCCGCTTATCCATCGAAAGTTGTTCATGATCATTTGAATATTCTATTAGTGCCGGAAGTGAATAAACTATTGGAATATTTACAAAATACAGATAATAGTGTGTGTATCATACATGTGAAAGTGGTTCAAAAATCAGAACACTGCATTCCTCGTTTTTTTCCTTTTCGTCGTACATTCGCATAATAAAACACTTGGTTTCCTTCTGATTTCCGATGATTTCCTCCAATGATAATAGAGCTTTATGCAATTTTAGTCGATAGCTGTACGCAAAGAAAATATCTGTACAACTTTAAGTTTTATATCTGTATTAATCACTGCCATCGGATATTGTGGAGATCAAAATGATAACGAAGAAGATGAACAATCACAACAACAACTAAATAATTTAGCGCCATTGACAGATTCCTCAGCAGCGTCAGAAGTTGTACGTAGAAGACTTGTTTTGAGTTGTAAATACATCATTCATTTATCTGTTTAGCTAACAAGTCTTATGCGTGACCTCGATCCGATTTTACATCTTGTATTAAAACAGTATTCTGATGATAAAGAAGTAACAGAGGTTCGTTTATCATTATTTTTTTTTGTTTTGCAATTTTGAATGCAATTCAATTTAGAAAATATGTGAAATTCTTTGTCGAACTATAACAACATTAAAAGAAGGGAGCACGCCGATATTAATGACATTATTACAACTATTACAATGTATTGGTCCAAATATTTTACATTTACAGTTTTTAAACTTTGTTAGAAATGTATGTTGTGAAGTCTCTGGAGAGTTGATTGAAAGCAACATCTTTTACAAGATTTCAAATTGAAAATTCTGCGATGCTGTTGTGTCTGTTGTTGATAGCGGTGGTACCGAGGGTGGACTTAAACTAGAGATTCGTGTTACTTAATGTTGACCTTGTTTCAATTCTTTTAGAGTCTTTTGTTATTTTCTCAAGATCCGAATGAATAATATTTAGTTTATTTCCTACCGTTTTGCAACGATTTGGTTGCTTATTTAATGGTGGTAAGTTTCGACATCATTTTTTTCCGTTTTGATTTTACATATCTTACAATTTTCTAGATATTCTATGGTTAAAAAATAATGTTGATATTGTCGAAGATTTTGCTAATTTTCTCACACAAGTATGTTATGTTACTTGTGCGATTTATATAGAATATTTTTGTATAAAGTTAGTTTGTTTTTCTTATTAGGTCATTAAAAAGCTACCGCATGTCGTTAACCGTTGTCCCGTTGAGGCACTTGCTCTTCTGTTTGAGTTTGGTAGGTAAATTTTCGAGTACTCTGTTATGCTTGACTTGATAATTTTGTTTTATTAAATATATCTTAGTGAAAAACGGTATTCAGTTACATGAACAATTACCGTTGAGGAGTGTGACGATGTTTACAGTAAGATAAAAATATCTAATATACTATTGATCTACTTTACATATTTTTTATTTTTGTTTAAGGCACACTATTTTGAATATTGTAAATTGGATAATCGTGCTGCTAGTTTATTACAAGAAAACGGTTTTGAAATTGTTCGACTTTCACTAAAAGTATGTGCAACTATCACAGAAGATATGTCTCCATCTTGGAAAGAAAGTCAATTTATAGTTTTTATATAATTTCGGTTTTTGTCACTGATAGGCCATTGGCGGGAATAGTCCAAAACATTTAGTTGATACACTATCTTTACTATTGTTTACCTTATCAAAACTTTATATTGGTAAATTATACGTTTGTTTGACTTGAATTAATTTGTTAAATTTTAACCATTGAATTTTTTTTCAATCCTTTAGATTGGACGATAAATTGGGTTCATCAATGTTTGAGTGATCCAAATTTTCCCTCACCAGCTGCCACTACAGACCATCGTGAAGCATTAATTAAAGCGTTGACACGGTAAATTCCATACATAACTTCTTGTTCGTTCCACCGGCGTCCATACTCTTTTTGTCCTGTTTTAGTGAACGATCCAGTCGAGCCAATTTCAAAGATCACATAAATATATTTTCTCAAGCATGCAGAGGCCTTGTATAACTCAGACCTCGCTTTTAATGCACTAACCACAGCTTTTCACATTTTTTGCCTATTAGTTAATTTAATGCTTTTAATACTATTTTCTATAATACTAGACATGCAGTCTGATCGAAAATCACAACACTCTTTCGTCTTATCTGACTTCTATTAGAGTTTTTCTTTTTTCTATTTATGCATATACGTAAGAAAAAGGCCCACCTATTTTTTACAGATTTGCATTTATCCTGTGAGATTTACGCTCAGTTTTCCCAGTGTCGGTTTCGTTTATCTTTCAATGGTAAAAGATTTTTAAATATAAAATTTGTAAATAATATTTGTTCGTTGTAGTTTTATTATCACAGATAATGTTGTGCAAAAAGTAAATAAAGACTTTTGCATTTAAAAACGTATTAAAAAATGGCTATTTCGTATATATTGTGAAAAATTGCTGAGAGAGCCTTTCACTCGCATAAAAACATAAAAAATTAGAAAGAAAAGAAATAATAGTCGTATAAACTGTACAACAATGATGAATGGCAAAGATATCCATTAATTCCTGAAATAATTTGATCTAAGCTGTTGTTTATTAATGATGATGTAATAGAAAAAACAAAAAAATGGATAACAGTAAACGAAATGAGACACCATTTAAGACATAAAGTACTAGCGGATCTTTATGATCCATGTTGAGAGAATAAATACACTGAGAATAAATATCGTGAATGACATACAGCAATGGGCCCATGATGGAGTAACAAACAGAGAGAAGTAGAACTAGAAAAAGAAAGAAAGACAAACTTAAAATGATTAATGTAGGTAAATAAGTAAAAATTAAAGATTAAAGAGAACATACACATTTGAGAGGTTGTTGTTGAAAAACCACAAATGATAAATTTAGCTGTACTAGGCAGTCCGCATGTGTCATCCAATTGGAGTGTGAGTATTTGAAGAGAGAAGCAAAGATTTTATTTAGTGATAAATCAGTGCGACGTAACTGAAAATCTTCTGGTATTGTATATATAGTCACTGACCTCTTTTACAATTATTACTATCTCATCAGGTGTTAATTGACGTTGTAATAACAATGTTTTAGTATCGATTTTTAGACTAGGAAGTTTATTGTTTAAATTAGAGAGAAGTAGACTTCTTTCATTTCGAAAATAATTTCGTCTATTAATTTTTCTAATTTCTTGACCTTTGTCACATAAAAACTATTTGAACAATCTTATGGATCGGTTTAACTTGTAGATTTTGAAAATGTGTATATTACTGTGTTATAATCATACCTCAAATGACGAAGATATTGGATATGAATTGATTCTATTAAGTAATCGTGATGAAGAATTTCATCGACCGTCCCTAGCAGCCCATGTTTGGCCAGAAACAAATTATATTCTTGGAGGTTTGTTTTTATATGCTCTTTTTACATTTAAAGTTTATCTCCTCTTTTTCTAGGTCAAGATATCACTCCCAGTCGTGAAGGAGGCACATGGCTTGGTTTCAATACACAGGGACGAATTGGTGTTCTATTAAACCTACCAAAATCTACTGATCATGAATCGGATAACAAAAAGAGTAGAGGTAGTCGAGTAAGTCCACTTTGACAGATATTTCTTATACTAATACAAATTTATGTTCATTTGTTTGTCGAACAGGCTTTATTGTTCCAAATTATGTGAATAACATGTCTGTCGGTCTTGATTGTTATATGAAAAATCTTAACGAGACTAAAATGAACTACAACGGTTTTAGTTTTATTGGTTTTGAAAGAAATTTACCTTTAGAGTAAGTAATGTCAATATATCTGGCAAATGAAATATCTCTTACTTCTCTTATATAGTGGCTGGAGAGTAGTATATACAAATAATGCATCCGATTTATCCATTCCTGTTGACGTACGTTCGAGTATGTTTAGAATGTTTCTCTGATAAATAGTAAAATATCAGTATATGAGCGTTATATTCATTCTCTATTGTTCTCTTTGTTCTTGTAGAATTTTTTGTACTCTCGAATCATCAGTATGGAAACGAATATGAATTTTGTAAAACTCAACATGGTTGTCAATTGTTGGACAACACATTAAAGGAGTTAACAAATAATTATAAAACAAAAATTACTGACGAAAAACAACTAGTTGATCGTTTGATGATGATATTGAATGATCAGACAACGTAAAAAATTTTACTTATTATCTATTATTGTTTAACTAATCCTTATCTTAAAATTTAGATTTTGTTTGTCTGATTTTCAGCATTTTTCGGATATCTCACGAAGGAAAGCATATTTTTTGAAAAGAAAAAAACGAACCTGAGTTAGGGTGTAAAGTATCTGCGGTAAAATTTTCACCTCGATCAGACCATTTTTTCGAGGGGTCGTAATGTGACCTGATGAAAACTGGAGTTTTACTGAAAATCTATAGAAGAACATGTCAGAAAATTCTGGGCAAAAATACATCGTTTTTCTTTTTTGATGATCTATCTTTGGTATAAATTTCACTTCGATCAAACAACGGCTTCCTCGGTTTTCAAGAGGGTCAAAAAAGAGGGAGGGTACCCTTAAACATTAAATAACGATTCTCTTTCTTATAGTTGTATAAGAGAAGATATTGTGGGTATGTCTTCGATAAAAAAGTTACAATCACGTTTTATTCCAAAGCCACAACCCGAAATAGAAAAGAAACCAACACTACAGTCGTTGAAATCAGCTCAAACTCAAGGTTTAAATAACAATAAGTTTATGAATAATAACAACATGTCAACGACAATGCCAACGACAATGTCAGCTGCTAATCTCATGTCATCAAACTTAAACAAAGACATAGTAAATGATACTCTTGGTATTCTTCAGCAATGATGTGGAAAAAGTATTTTCAAAACACAGTTTAACATCATTTACGGCATCATCATTTTGGATGGATCCGGCGTTAGGTGTAAAATTCAATGTAATTCAAACTTCAAACCTCGAATAGTTCATTGTCTTTTTGGTGGTACCATGATTTCATTGAATTATTGCGGTTTATGCGGTTTATGCTCAAAGTTCGCCGACTGAATATATGCATTGTATCCATCCGAGGTAAGACAGTTGTATATTGTTGCGTAGGATTTCTACGTGCGAGCAAATATTTTTTAATTTAATCAACAATAGTCACAGTATAAATCATATAGTGGCTACAGCTTGTTGAATTGAGAATATAGTTTTATTATGCTAGTGAGAAATTTTCGACCTTTAAGATCATTATCCAGTCAAATTCTACGAGAGACGACTAATGATTTCTTATGAAAACGAGCTCACTAACATTTTTTGCATAACATGGAAGAACCGTATCATGTTTTGCGTGACGTGCTTCTTTTTTTATAAAAAGTGACAATGAGAAGTGAGAGAGACAGTCTTCTCTTTCCTTACTAGGCTAACTGGAACCACTGGCACGCAAAACATGGTTAGAAGTTTCTACGTGTACTAACGACGACCAGTTAACAGTTTTTATCGAACAAAAGAGTTTTATGCTGGTTTATATATCACGTATAACGAACCGGAAGCAATTGCTCTGTCGACAAAAAAGAAATTCAAGCATTTCGAGATCAATTGTGCGCGATAAATACAAAGCATTATTGTATACCGGATTCAATAGTATCGTATGTTTTTTAAGCGTACTGCTTGTTACCTATCCTGTTGAGTATACGCAATTAAAATATAAGATAAATATCAAGATATTTAAAACATTTAGGGAACTAAAGCTGTTGTCAAGTTTTCCTACATTGAAAACATTTCATTTGAATATTATGATGGTATCGATAAACACAATTCAAGAATTTAAGGAAATGGCACTCTCATTTCAAACACCGTTTTGGCACGATCATCAATGGTTTATTCAATGTGACTACATCGACAAATCCGATTACGCACAAATTTATACGTTACCGTTTAATTTTGACATATTTACTACCTGTATATCAATGAAAACAATGAAAGATCAAATCAGGTAAGATGTCGGCAATTCGAACTTCAAGTAAAATGTTTTTTTTCGTTCTTTATATGGTTCGATAGAGCGTGAGGAACTGAATTAGAAAAACTGGTTTTTAACTTTTGGAACCAAAAAAGAGAAGAAGACTGTTTTTTTCGAAAAACACAAGGGTTTTGAAAATATATGAAATTTTCTGTTTTACTGATTTTTTTCTGCTTATGAGACTTTTGTTCGGATTCAGCATTAAAAAGCGAGTATAAACATACTCGCGTCGCATCGACTTTAACCCAAAAAGGCATTGGGTGGTGGCGGCTCGAATCGTGCACATTGCAACGCTTGTCGGTCGTTTTTGTAAATCTATCTAGTTTTTCTAATTAAGCGGGGAAGTCAAATATTTTATATCGTTCGATTCAGCATACGAGCAGTCTCAAAAGTAAGCATCACTTTTTTTGCTTTTGTTTTCTTTGTTTTGAAAACAGACCTCAACTTCTATGTAAAAAAGAAATATCGTATTCGCAATCAGGGAGTCGACTGACGTATAATTCTACCCTATTTGAGTACTTTAATTTTTTTCGAGTTGACAGGCTGAAAAATCATCGAGACTTTCACCAAAAAATGTAGAAATACACATCAGTCGACTCCATGTTTGATCCTGATTGCTAATATGATATTTTTTTCCACATAGAGATTGAGTTCCGTTGGAGAAAAGCGAGAATTTCAAGCAGAATTCCGATTTTTTTGCCCCTGATTTAGAAAAAATGAATTTTCTAAACAAAGAAAACAAAAGGAAAAAAAGCGATGCATACTGTTGTGACTAGTGGTATGATGAATCGAACGATATCTGTCTTCCTCGCTTAACCAGAAAAAGTACATAGATTTACAAAAACATTGCAATGTGCGCGATTCGAGCTGCCACCATCAAAAGCCTTTTGGGTTAAAGTCGATTTAAGGGTACCCCTCCCCTCTTTTTGGGCTTTCCGTAGAAATGCTGTGAAATAAAAACTAAAAGTCGCTAGGGCTTCGTATTTTCAGAACTGATCGGAAACTCAATGGAGCACTTTTTCGTTCTTG